TCAATCGAGTGCGCGGAAGCACCACGTACGTGGTCGACGCAGCTTCCAGTTGTTGAATTTGCGCTCAACAACGCGATTCACGCCTTTATGTGCTCTACGTCAGACGTCTTAGGCAGTACCATGACCGGCACAGGGTTGCTGCCTCGCAGATCCACCTTCGCCCAGCTCCGTGAAGGGAGGTCCAGCCACAGGTGTCGACAAGGGCCCCAGAGCAGGCATCCAAGCCTCGGGCTGAACAGCAAGGCTGCGGTAGAGACCGTACGTCGAAGTCCCCCCCCCACGAACGGATCTCAGAGCCATACGCTTAGTACGTCGGGCACGCACCATAGGCGTACGGGTGGGAGTGCGCCAAAGGCGGCTCCGGAGGTGGAAGCAAAGCCTCATTTATCGAGAGTGTATCGATGCAGCCTCGCGTCTAAGTACCACGCAAAGCGCCAGAGTGTACGCATGCACTATTTAGGTGGATATGATTTTGTGCTGGCCGCGACGGCAACGGACAGTAGTGGCTACAAATAGGCCCTCATTTTCGTAACAGGCTGGCCGCGGTTAGCGAGGGAAAGGCCTGAAAAACTTTCCAAACACATTTGAGATTTACGAAAGGCCTTAATAAGTACCGTGTACGAAAGGCCTTAATAAGTACCGTGATTTTATTAAAGCAAGAAATAAGCGTCCTTTTGATAGCAAATGACTTAGATTTGATTACTAAAGTTTACAAAGTTGGCGCACAAAAAAGTTAAGATCCGAGGCCGTCGGAACGAAATCGCAGTCGAAGTGATCGAAAAACCTTCAAGGTGCGCCAAGTATTGACAGACAAGGCGATGAGCTCGTAAACGCGGAAATTGACGTATGATAAGCTGCGCGAGGCTTCAAACACGTCAAAGTTGGTCCAACGTGCTCTCAAATGAACCTGTGCGAGCACACGTATCATCCGCTGGTCGGCATGACTAAGTCGATGATGATCCAGGCGGGGTTTCCGCGAAGTATGTGGCCAGAGGTCATGCAAACCGCCGTTCACGTAAAACAAAATCGGGTGTGCAACATGGGGGTACAAGATATTCCGTACGGACAAATGTTTGGAGTGAAACCAGATCTCCATCACATCAGGGCTGTTGAAGCATTGGCTTAAGTGCACATACCACAAACCCCAGGCCGTCGTAAGCATCACGACAATGCCAGAGCTGGGTTTGTTCTTGGGTATGCGGAGGACGTGGTTGGATGCACGGTGTATTTTTCAGAAGGACGAACACTGAACTTTGTTCCTGATCTGGGTGTTACGGAGGTACTACCTTACCATGATATAGATGCAGAGCAGGAAGCTCAACTAGAGTCGTTACACTTTGAACAAGACCCCGAAACTACAATCACCGAGTCGTTTGTGGCGAGTCTATGGAACTCAAAGAGGGAGTGGACTTACTCGATGATGTGAATGCAGAAGAGAGATGGGAGGCTGAGGATGAAGGTTCAGGCGGTGAAGATGACCGTGATTATAGTGTTTGTAAACGACGGCCGACCCAGTCGACGTGCTACGTGGAAGCGTTTGATTATGTTGTAAGTGAAATTAACTCACTGACGCATAACTCTCTAGCAAGTGAAGTTGGTAGCGAGATGTGAGCTAGCGAGCAGGCTGAGGCTGCCGTGGATAGCGCAGTTGCAGCAGCATTGAAGGAACTACGTGACGACTCCAAATACGACAACAGTGTGGATCGTGATGAAAGTGGGTATGCGTTGATTCGGAAGTAGATGAAACCGAGAGGGGTGACCGCTGAGCAGGATCACAGCCCGATCAAAGTGAAAGTATCGGGGAGAGTGATGTTGTTTCTGTGATCAGTGGATTTGCTACCGAGGCGGACAGTAAACTTCAAGTACCCGAAGATGTAAAGCCACAGGTCGAAGTGGTAGATGCTTGTGCTATACTATTCCGAAGGCAACTGGAAAACAAACTCATCGTGATGAAACATCATCGAAGGAAGCGAGAGTGCAGCGCATATAAGATGGAGCCGAAGTGTAAGCGTGCTGGTCTGCGTGAAGCAAACGAACGTCGTCGACTGTGCTACCTGGATGAGTACATTGTGAAAGCGATGCAAAATACGGCCCGAGTATTGGATGCAAACGGTGAGCCAATAAGGGCGAACTAGGTGAAAGTCCCGATAAACAAATGCGATTCAAGTATGCAGATTTCGGATGCCTAGCGGAGATAGAAGTTATGATATCGCTGAAGGCGAAGGGTGTTCTAAAGGAGGTCCCGTTTACTGAGGTACCAGAAGATGCTGAACCGATCCGAACTGGATGGGATTATGCGTTGAAATCAAATTTCAAGGTTATGTGATTCGATTTAAGGCGCGTACCGTGGCGTTTGGAAATTACCAACGATCAGGCATTGACTTTGTGGATATCTTCTCACCAGTGGCCCGCATGTCATCGCGCATGATATTGGCAGCTCTTGCTGTAATCTTGAAACTAATACTCTACGGAGGGGGTGTGAACATGGGGTATCTAAGCGCGTGGTGGGGAATTCATCAGTACCGGAAGGAGATCGATGGATATCCATGCAAGATCACTGGACACATCTACGCTGTCGTGAAAGCCCTGTATGGCTTGAAACAGTCGGGAAGGGATTGGAACACAGCGTTGAACAAGTGGATGCGGGAGCATAGATACCTGCGCTCGCTGACGGAACCATGTCTGTATTATCGGTTTGACGGTGACGTTACCATGCTGGTACTGGTATACGTGGATGTCATTGTGGTTGCAACAAACTGTGAATCTTCGAAGTGCAAGTTGTTTGATGATATTGACAAAGCCTATGGAATTTAGGATCAAGGGGGCCTGACACATTTAGGATTGGAGGTGATGCAATTGGTAGAGGGCATAAAAAATAGGCATAAAGATTAGCCAAACCAAGTACGCGCGAGAGATATTGAAAGCTCTAGGCTTTGAGAACGCGCATGCTGTGGGGAATCCGATGGAGACCAGCATACGACTGGTACCGCTGGAAGAGGAAGAAGAATCTGATGCCAGCTTTCCATGTCGCAAGGCTGTTGGCATGCTAATGTACCTGGTCACCGGAACAAGCCCGGATTTGGCATTCGCGGTGGACCAGTTGAGCTGATTCGTAGAGAAACCATTAAGTAAGCACGTTGGGGCACTCATACATGTGGTTCGCTATCTAGCGGGGACGACCGACTATGGGATTATCTACACTAGCTCTCCGGAAGAGGCTATGTGTGTGGAATTGGAAGGATACTGTGACAGTGACTGGGCAATCGATCCCGAGACTCGCAAGAGCACTACACGTTTTATGTTCACACTAGCAGGAGATGCAATCTCCTGGATGTCGCGACGGGAAACGATTGTGGCGCTTTCCACGGCTGAGGCTAAATACGTGGCTGCGTGTGAGGCTGCAAGGGAGGCTGTGGCTGAAAGCATCATCTTACAGGATATTGTGATGATAAAGGACGTGGATCTCCAGCTCGGGATCGACAACCAAGCTGCGCTGGTAATGACGACAAACCCGAGCTACAACCGGCGCACACGTCACTTTATAGAACTGTAGTTTCTGTAGTTGGAGCTAGGAATATCTAAGCACAACGCCGAATATATTTCCGTGTCGATATTTTGAGATGTTCCAATACTTAACTTCGGTGGAGTTATAAGAAATCGCTCTAGCTCGAAGGAGTCTATTTTGGAGCGACGCTTTGTAACCCTGGATTAGCTCCATAACCTCGGATAGCTCCAAAAAATACAGTTCTCTATTGAATTGCGATGTAACTTAATGCGTGCACAAGTGGAGAAGGGCGTGATCGAGCTATACAAGGTGAAGGGCACGGAAAACCCAGCTGACACATTCACGGAATTCCTGAACAAGACTCGCCTGAGCTGCTTGCTGCAAGCGGTGGGCATCGGCGCCTTAGGGTTCGAAGCTTTGCTTTGAAGGGGGTGTTATGAAGAGCAGGTCTGCGTCATGGCAGGTGAAGCGACGCCGGCGATCGACACAGATTGAAGTATATGAGGCGGCGCGGGGCAAGGAGACTTTGCTAAATACGCTAACAGGAATATGGAACTGGTAGAAGCTCTCGCTCAAGCCGCTTAAGGGAAATCTATCCATTATTACATTTCAGTCGTTATGAGCTTGGCAGCAAGTGCACTTTACAAGAAAGAACGAGATATGCATAACAATGAGGAGGATCCCCGAAAAGATATTATCTACGCATACTGATATGGTTGTCTAATCAAGGATTACCCGCAAGCATGGACGTTAGCAGCCCTGTTAGACGACCAGAAAAAGTGCAAAGTTACTCTTTTGACATGGAAACTACTCGGTATCCCAGTGCGCAATATGAAGCATCGGTACCAGAAAGCCGGTGAAATAGGGCAATAGTTTTTCTGTGTCTGTGTGACGGACCACTGGAAGTTACCCGGGCCAAATGATGGTGTTCACGAGCCCTAATGACCGATGGAAGGAGATCTCGAGAAAGTTTAGATGCGACTCCTAAATGCCACTATGGACACGCAAGAAGCTTACGGCGGTTTCTACTGCTCTCAAGCTATCTATTACCAAGACGGTTAATTACTGAGTGCTGCAACATGTTTGGTGGTGTGGCACGAGAGTGTCTGAATTTTGACACTGGTACTTTGTCCATGTGGAGAAGAGTATTTTGGACATTATTAGCAGCTTACCCAGTCTGGAGGACGTTCAAATATTTTTAGTGGAAACAGAAGCCAGCGATGTTAGTCTCGCTCACTTTCACGCAATAAAGGGTTAAAGAAGACCAATTGTCTGGCTTCCGTTTTCTTTTTGAGTCGACTTTAATGAAGGTATCTATTCGTTTGCATATAAGGAAAACTATCCATGAGGTCGACATCAGGACGCCGTCTTCGTCCGTGACTAATGACGGACCATATCACATGCAGTCAGTCGATTTAAAATTTACGGAAAGTGAATGCGGTACTGGACACACCAACGACTTTATTATCGAGCGTCTAAAAAACACAACAGCGCAATGTCGGAGACACACGAGGTGAACACGTGGGATGAGATGTGTCAAAGATATCCTCATCAAACTTCAATATCTCGACAAAATGGATCAAGTGGCGCTCGTATTCGTTGTCCCACGTATAATGTTTTACCATTTAACGCAGCAGTCGATTATCCTGCTGGGCACTCCGATCGCTAGTCAGGACGTACTCCGTATCATTGGGTGTGGTCGCGACACTCACTAGACACTGGCCAAGAACTGTGTTACATCCGCTGGGGAGCCGGGGAAAGCTATCAACTCGTACAGAACTTGGAGAACGTAGTCTTGTGACACAGCTGCGCTTCGGGTAGAGTTGTGCGAAGCTGGAATTTGCCGCCAAAAACGGGGAATGTGGCTGTGGCAACGAAGAAGATTTTGCATTTGTATGCTCTCTACAACTATGAAACAGTCCCAAGAGCAAGTAAAGCTTAGCAACCGCGCCAACGTTTCAGCTGTCGATTTAATGAAATTGCACCGACTTTTTCCCCTTGACTCCTGTTAGGCAGAAATGCGTTGGCTACAGTTGAATAACGGTGTCGTTTTTTATGCTGCCTTTACTATTAAATAGAAGCATCAGCAAAAAACCAGAAGAAGTCGAGCTGCGGAAGATTGCAACCTTAAGAGCACAACAGAGTATGAGAGCTACAAGAAAAAAATCGAGCTGTCGATCAGGTTGGTGCTGTCTATTTTATCGACGCAGTAGCTGGCACATGTAAGTAGCGCATATGATATTTCCGTAAAATATAAGTATTTTTCAGTAAATGACGTAATAAATGTTACGTTCGACTACAAGAATTTGATGCCTGAGCATGTTTACCAGGCCAAAAACAATTGTCCCATCGTGTAACAAACATGATTATCAGGCGGATTTGAGCGTCCAGCAATCATTAACAATTGACCATTGTCGGCATGATCATTTTCCATTTAGTGTTCTCCTGACAACCTTGAAGACGATGAGCGATCTAGGGGCTGTAAACCCACCCACTCCAGCGATCGGATACGACGACGGTAAAATGCTGATGGCTAGAGGGCCATTGGAACTTCACGAACACGTGGCGTCGCGCTTAGAGACATCGCTGGGCAAACGGCTTCCTCAGATGGAAGTGCGTTTCAAGGACGTGTCCATCTCTGCGGACATCGTGGTCAAGGACGCGAGTGACCTGGAGGTGCAGCTACCTACACTTCCGAACGAGATGATGAAGACGCTTCGTGGCCTGGTCGCTAAGAAGCATACAGTGACCAAGCGTATTCTGAGAAGCGTGAGTGGCGTCCTAAAGCCAGGAACTATCACACTTGTACTGGGGCAGCCTGGGTCAGGCAAGTCGTCATTGATGAAGCTACTAAGTGGACGCTTCCCGAAGGACAAGAACGTCTCGATCGAGGGTGAGGTGACGTACAATGGCACGTCGGCTGAAGAGTTGCACAGACGACTACCGCAGTTGGTGTCGTATGTGCCACAGCGTGACAAACATTACCCCGAATTGACAGTGAAGGAGACACTGGAGTTCGCCCATGCTGCGTGTGGTGGGGTGTTGTCTGAACATGACGCGAGTCACTTGGTGAACGGAACTCCGGACGAGAATGCGGAGGCGCTGAAAGCCGCTCAAGCACTTGTCAAACATTACCCAGACGTTGTGATCCAGCAACTGGGACTGGAGAACTGTCAGCACACAATTGTGGGCGACGCTATGCTACGTGGTGTGTCTGGTGGAGAGCGTAAGCGCGTGACCACAGGCGAGATGTCGTTTGGTAACAAGTACGTGATGATGATGGACGAGATCAGTACGGGGCTGGACAGCGCCGCGACGTTCGATATCATCACGACGCAACGTAGTCTGGCCAAGAAGTTCCGTAAGACAGTGGTCATCTCACTACTGCAACCGTCACCCGAGGTGTTCGCTCTGTTCGACGATGTGATGATTCTAAACGCCGGTCACCTTATGTACCACGGACCATGCACAGAAGCCTTAAGATACTTCGAGAACCTTGGCTTCAAGTGTCCTCCGTCTCGCGACGTGGCGGATTTCCTACTAGATCTCGGTCCCAACAAACAAAACCAATACGAAGTGAAACTCGACAATGGAGTCATCCCTCGTTCTCCCAGTGAGTTCTCCAACGCGTTTAAACACTCGACCATCTACAGTCAAACCCTGAACGACCTACAAGCTCCAGTAGCCCCCAGTCTCGTCGAAGATATGAAGACTCATATGGATGTTCAACCAGAATTCTCTCAGAGTTTCTGGGCTAGTACGATGCTACTGATGAAGCGAGAGGTTTTAATCACGAGACGGGAGATGTCAGCTATGGTAGGACGAATGATCATGAGTACTGTCATCGCTCTACTCTGTTCCAGTGTCTACTACCAGTTCGACACGACAGATGCGCAGTTGACTATGGGTATCATTTTTGAATCTATTTTAAATCTGTCAGTGGGTCAGGCTGCTCAAATCCCGACGGTGATGGCTGCACGAGAGGTTTTCTACAAGCAACGAGGTGCCAACTTGTTCCGGACAGCGTCGTACGTGCTGTCCAACTCAGTGGTACAACTACCAGCCATCATTCTGGAAACGGTGGTGTTCAGTGCCATTGTGTACTGGATGTGTGGCTTCTTGAATTCGTTCTGGAGCTTCATCGTCTTCGTGGTGGTACTGTGTCTGATCAACGTCGCACTGGCGGCCTTCTTCTTTTTTCTGGCTACTGCGTCTCCAAATTTGAACGTGGCTAATCCTCTTTCCAGCGTTTCGATCGTGTTTTTCGTCATGTTTGCCGGCTACACGATCACAAAGGACCAAATTCCAGAGTACCTCATCTGGATGTACTGGATCAACCCGACGTCGTGGGGGATTCGCGCACTGGGTATTAACCAGTACATCAACTCACACTTTGACAAATGTGGGTACAATGGGATCGACTACTGTACTAAGTACGGTATGACGATGGGAGAGTACTCTCTTAGTACATACGAGGTACCGTCCGAGAAGTTCTGGCTGTGGTACGGGATGGTCTATATGGCAGTCACATACGTGTTCTTCCTGTTCCTGTCTTGCATCGCACTAGAGTACCATCGCTTCGAGCGTCCAGAAAATGTTGTACTTACAGATGAGAGCAAAGTTGACGCGAAAGACAGCTACACGCTCACTCGAACGCCGCGAGGATCACAGAAACACAGCGAGTCAGTGATCTCGGTCGACCACGCACGAGAAAAGTACTTTGTACCGGTCACCGTGGCGTTCCAGGATTTATGGTACACTGTACCAGACCCGACCAACCCGAAGAGAACCATCGACTTGCTAAAAGGCATCTCTGGGTATGCACTACCAGGCACTATCACTGCGCTTATGGGCTCGTCTGGAGCTGGCAAGACGACGCTGATGGACGTGATTGCTGGACGGAAGACTGGCTGTCAGATCCGCGGTCAGATTCTGCTCAATGGTCATCCTGCCACAGATCTGGCTATTCGACGTTCGACGGGGTACTGTGAGCAGATGGACATTCACTCCGAGTCGTCTACTATTCGTGAGGCGTTGACATTCAGTGCGTTCCTACGTCAGGGCGCCGATGTTCCAGACAGTCACAAATATGATTCTGTCAACGAGTGTTTAGATCTTCTAGATCTAAATCTGATCGCTGACCAGATCATCCGTGGCAGCTCCGTGGAGCAAATGAAGAGACTGACGATCGGAGTGGAACTCGCTGCACAGCCGAGTGTCTTGTTCCTGGACGAACCGACGAGTGGGTTGGACGCTCGATCGGCCAAGTTGATCATGGATGGAGTTCGAAAAGTAGCGGATACGGGGCGTACCATCGTGTGTACCATCCACCAGCCATCTTCCGAGGTTTTCAGTGTGTTCGACAGTCTGTTACTGTTGAAACGTGGCGGTGAGACAGTCTTTGTTGGCGAGTTAGGTGACAACGCACGTGAAATGATCGAGTACTTCGAGTCGATTGAGGGTGTAGCAATGCTTAAAGCCGACTACAACCCGGCTACGTGGATGTTGGAAGTGATCGGTGCTGGCGTCGGTAACAGCAACGGAGACAAGACGAATTTCGTGGAGATCTTCAAAGCGAGCACTCACGCTCAGCGTCTTCGGTCGAGTCTAGACCAGGAAGGTGTGACTCGACCGTCACCGTCATTACCAGCACTCGAATTCAGCGACAAACGCGCAGCTTCCGAGCTCACTCAAGCGAAATTCCTGTTGAAACGCTTCTGCGATCTCTATTGGCGTACATCTTCTTTTAACTTGACGCGGTTCGCTATCTCACTTGGAATGGGATTAGCTTACGGAGTCACATACATTGGTACAGAGTATAAGTCGTACTCAGGTGTCAATTCCGGCTTGGGCATGCTCTACATGATCACGAGTTTCATCGGCCTCATCGCGTTCAACGGATTGATCCCCGTAGCGTACGAAGAGCGTGCTGTATTCTACCGTGAACGAGCATCTCAAACTTATAACGCCTTCTGGTATTTCTTCGGACTGGGAGTCATGGAAATCCCGTACGCTGCCTTCGCAGTGCTGTTGTTCCTCATCCCGTTCTTCCCAATGGTGGGGTTCTCGGGTGGGTAGAATTTTAACGGGGTCGTATACAGGTCAGGCCTGATTATTGGGTCAGGTTCCATTTCCAACAGGATCTTCCTACAGAAGAAGAAGAATCGAGCAGTGAAGAAGATGACGAGGCTGTAGATGTCGACAGTGATGATGACAACGAGGGCGTCTCTGCTACTAGCAGCGAAGAGGACGCTGCTGCTACCAATTTGGGCGCAGATGTGATGAGCAATGACAGTGATGCCGATGAAGGCGACACTGAAGCCGACCAACCTCGTGCCGCGCAGACCATCGTGGTCTAAGCATTCTAACCCAACTGCTTAGCTTCGTATCTTTCACTTCAATATGTAGCTTAGCAATTGGTCCTGTGTTTGGTAGGGCCGTCAGGAAACCCGCCAGACCCAATTATCAGGCCCTACCCGTACACGACCCCAAAAATAGCTAACCCTCGGGTGTCGGAGTCTTCCTCACTTCGTGGCTGGTCTTGGTGCTTCAAGTGCTGCATCAAGCGTTCATGGCGGACCTCCTCGTCTTCCTCTTACCGAATTTAGAGGTGGCGGAGATCGTCGGTGTGCTGCTGAATCTTCTTGGCTACTTGTTCTCGGGCTTCAGTCCTCCAGCTTGGTAGAATATTAACGGGGTCGTATACAGGTCAGGCCTGATTATCGGGTCAGGTTCCATTTCCACTCGTCGGAAAAAGTTCTAGTGCGGTCGGCTATTTCGGTCTGAACTATATAAAACAATGCTAGAAGGCAGCCATTCAGAGTTACCTGGATCAAGTGCAACCAGGTATGGTTACCAACTTCCATGGCTGTTTCAAAACTCCCGCGAGCACTAGAAACCACTACTTAGGGGTTTCTTAACAACCATTTTGTTCTGATGTGAGCCCGTGCACTATTTCCATTCTTTTTTCTTTTCCAACAAGTCGAACGAACACAACTGCTTCCATGGCCGACGTAGACCCCAACGTCCCTGACCCAGACGCAGCATCCTTAGTCGATCCAACTCGGTCGACGGTTGCTCCACGTAGCAATGTAACACACGACACTTCTTCTGTTCCGGCAGGTGGGTTGACCCTCCCGCACTCATCAGCAGCTCGCAATGGTAGATACTCAACCATTATAAACATCAGTGGCTATCAGTACACCAAAGCGTGGTCCTCACGTCGTAAGGTCGTGTATCGCTGCAGTTACTATCGAGGGCAACAATGCAGCGGCAAGGTGGAGCTGGTTTCGGAGTCCATGGAATATGGAAATTTTGTACCGCATACTTGCAGAAGGGATCGCATACCTCTTGCCCAGCCTCTAGACATTGTGGCCGACATGCAAGCCGCAGTCGATAACCTAGCACGTACCGAAATGTCGCTCCCGGCAGCGACTATCTGGAGTCGAGTCGATGAACAGTTCTACGACGGCGGTCAAAATCAGGCACTTGTTGGTTTGTCTCGTGAGCAAGTTCTCAGTCTGTGTACGAGACCGTCATTTCGGTGGAAATGTACATGGTCGTGTTGAACTTCCACCTCTTTCTCAAGTCCGAGATCAACCGCTCAACTTTTTTCAATTTCACTACATCAGTGGGTTTAATGACAGCGAAACCCCCTGTCGAATGATCGGGTGGGCGCACCCGGAGTTAATTTCGCTGCTTAAGTACGCTGGTACATCAATATTTATTGACGGTACTTTCCGGTGTGTGCCTCGTGGCTTCAAGCAATGCGTTGTTCTCATGGTTTTCGATCGGTCCACTGGATACTACTGCCCAGTGTTCTACGTCTTGACATCCCATCGGACTAATGACACCTATTTCGACGTCCTTCCTTTCATCATGCAAGCTACGGATCAAAACCTCGACCCGGCGGAGGTCGTCTGCGACTTTGAACGTGCTCTGATCGACGCAGTTGGCGTCCAATTCCCGAACGCACAAGTGATCGGCTGCCTGTTCCATTTTAAACAGGCAGTCCGCCGTAAAATGCGCAAGTTAGGTATAACGAACACAGCTGCATCAATCGCTATGACCCCTGGTGTACTAGATATGCTAACCGTCGTGCCGGAGGACCGGATCGAGGCTGGAGGCATTACGTGGGTCAAGCGTCAAATCAAGGATCGCTGCCGCAGCGACGGTGTTCCCTACGCTCGCTCTAAGTGGCGTTGCTTTTGGAACTATTTCAAGAGAACCTGGCTGGAGCTCTACGATACTGGGCTATGGAATGTCCACGGTCTAAATGAACGGCTTGTTGCTCGAACGAATAGTCCATTAGAGAGGTTCAACAGAGAGTTGAACGCCGCTTTCACGACACCACACCCCAGTCTTACGAACTTTGTAGGTACTATTGAGGCTTTAGCGCGAGGCCATGTCGCTGATATTGCCGCTATTCGTAGTCGCCGATCCCGTGGTAGAACTCGTGAGACCATCCGGCTTCCTCGCCCTGTGGATATTCCTACAGAAGAAGAAGAATTGAGCAGTGAAGAAGATGACGAGGCTGTAGATGTCGACAGTGATGATGACAACGATGGCGTCTCTGGTACTAGCAGCGAAGAGGACGCTGCTGCTACCAATTTGGGCGCAGATGTGATCAGCAATGACAGTGATGTTGATGATGGCGACACTAATGCCGACCAACTTCGTGCCGCGCAGACCATCGTGGTTTAAGCTTTTTTTACCCAACTACTTAGCTTCGTATCTTTCACTTCAATATATAGCTTAGCAATTGGTCTTGTGTTTGGTAGGGCCTGGCATTTTGGTCAGGAAACCCGCCAGACCCAATTATCAGGCCCTACCCGTACACGACCCCAAAAATAGCTAACCCTCCAGCTTCTACACTGCCATCGGCGACCGTGTGGCTGTATGACATCACTCCGATGAAATACAGCACTGCGGCGTTCTCTGCTGTGGTGTTTGGAGCCTGCAGCAGCGACGGAGATCTGGGATGTACGCGGATGACCAACGTGCCGCCATCTCTACCTCAGAACATCACTGTGAAGGAGTATCTGGAAACAAACTTCTTGATGAAACACAGCGAGATCTGGAAGAACTGCGGCTTCTTGCTCCTCTTCGTGGCTCTCTTCGGCGTCTTCACATTGCTGGCGATGCGCTTCTTGAATTTCCAGAAAAGATAGAGAGTACCGTGTACTAGTAGTACAACTTTAGCTCGTGTCGATAATAAACACTTTTTTTTAAATTCGATACCGGTGCAGCAGTTTTTGAAAACTTTAACGAGTAAATTACTTACTGAAAATAAAAACGGGATAATAAGAGCGGTCATAATTAATTTCAACAATCAGAATGCGCTAAACGGACAGCTGATTGGCCTAAATTACCATTCGGATTACAGTGAATTTCTGGTCGATCAAATCTCGCAAAGATATTGACGCAAAGTTTGTCGTGCCAAATTCGAAATTGGAAAGTCTTCGCTAGGCCGTCAGTTTTGCATTAAGTGGCATGAAAACTTGTTGAGTCGTAAAACTTGCCATCGCCTATCGAATGGTGCTATTGATAGCGCTTAACTCGACTGTGACTTGTAGCAGTGGTTGCCAACAACACCACCAATAGTTTGAGCGTACTTAGCCGAACTACAGCGGTATTTTAAAATGACTTGAATTTGTAAGGAGCCGCTAACATTTTCGGACACGGTTTATGTCTTTCGATTAACGGCTAATCAAATCGCAATCGAATTTAAGGCGGATTGGTGACACAATAGGTCGGATTGGGTCGATTTGCCATCTCAAATTTGAAAAGTAAAAAAAATTCAATTATGCTTTAATTTTAAAGCTGCGGGGTTAAATTTAAACAGGATTCTGTCAGCTTAGAAAGGGATAAGACTCTGGGCTCTATTTATCGGCGTTCTCTCATCATTTTAGAAAGTAAGTAGATAACGGGCTCGTACTGCACAGATAAATTTGTCGAAATACCAGGGGATATGACGACTAATCTCCGAGCTGCTCATAATCGATGCGTTACCTTAGCGTTGCGTGCATATTCATGATCATTTACCGCTAAGCAAATTTGTATACGACTATACCATGCTTCCATCTCGTCCGCCCACTAGTGCCGAATGCTACCATGCTCAACCGATTTAAAAAAGGCTTTTGTTACGACCGTGTCCTATTCCCTCGAAATTCAAGAAGCAACGTGACGATGCCGAAGAGAGAGAGAAGCAATAAGCTGCTTTTATTAAAAAAAAATGTCAAGAAAATTATCTCCAGGTACCCCTTTACAGTGACGCTCTGAGCTATTACATGTAGCGAAGGACTCGGCCCCAGTGGCAATTCTAAATCCTGCAACGCGGCGAAAATCCAGTCGTGGGTTAACTTTGTCGTCCCATTGCATACATTGAAGATTACCATAATTATGTACAGTATCATGATAAAGAAGCGGTGTCTACAATTCTACATGCATTGCAGAGCATAGACTCTATGCTATGATGTAGAGCGCCAGCCTTCTCTAAAAAAAGAGGCAGACGAGCCCACATTGAAAAAAGAGTCGATATGGCGGCAATACGAGTACTGTATTAAGACATAAAAAACATGCATACTGTAAAATTGCATGTTTATTTAAGTTTTAAGAGTACAATGCCAGTCGAAAACTTATAGACAGCGGTGGCAGGCCGATTCCTGGAGGCGTCAAGCCCCCTGACAGTCAGTCGGACTGACTACAATCAATTAACCGGCATCTGCCGTCTATACAGTACACTTTAAAAGCCGGCGGCAGTATTACTGCCAGTGACACTAGCCAAAAAAGGATTTGCTGTCGTTGTGTACGTGTTGTTGTTGTTAAAGGCAAATGCCGAAGTGAGTAGATTAAAGTCAATTAAATCTGTCCTCTCAACTTCAGTGCTCCTGGCCATCCACCAGATTAACCGGTTTGGGACCGGTCCATTTTGGAACGTCACACCGGTTAGCCGAACCGTGCAGAGTCGGTGCATATCAACACTCCCACTCACCGCTACTGCACGTCGTTCCTCTTCTTGATTCCACTTGCTTCGCGTAGGAACGCTAGCGACTTCGTTCCCAGTGCTTTCGTAAGCATGTCAGCTAACTGCTGCTTCGTGTCGATGTAGGCCACCTTGATTGTGGAACGTTCCACATTCTCTCGAATAAAGTGGTGACGGATATCCACGTGCTTGGTCCTCGCGTGATATCCAGCGTTGCTTGCAAGTGCAATAGCACCTTGATTGTCTTCCCAGACCTGCGTCGCTCCCACTTGCTCGTGACCCATGTCCTTCAGCATGGCACGTGTCCATAGTACCTCTTGAGTACAAAGGCTTAGTGCCATGTACTCTGCTTCCGCTGAGCTAAGTGCAACCGTC